AACTTGATTGTGAGGATGACGCCGAAACAGCTTCGTTATAATATTCATCAGTTCTTTTCTGTATAGGCTAGCCGATAGAAAGTACAAGATGACGGATGTGGTATATGACAAAGTGTAGATAACCTTAGTTAGTAGAAAAGCAAAGTAATACTCGATGGGATTTAAATATTGAACAGGCAAAAAGCCAAAAATATACATTGTAGTAAATGGTGTAGAAAGTAAAATATGGCAACCCACTTGAGTAAGAAGCATGCAAGTAAGTTGATGTTCAGTGCGACGAGATCGTGAAGATGTAGCAGGAAGAGCACGAACCGCCTTTTTATTGCGTATGGTCAGAATGCCGAAGGGTAGCATCAGAAATGGAGGAATGTAACTTAGAAGAACTGCTTGAATGATCGGATACACACGACTATAGAGTGTTGTTGGTAAAATACGACATGGAATCACTTGACCTGGTTGTGGATTGAACAGTACCAGAGAGCTAATGGAAAAAAGTGCTATAGAGGCGAAGACGGATAAAATAGACCATCGAGCAACAATCAAATTGCTGAAATTTCGTCGTTGAACATTTAATGAACTGCCACAATATCGATCGATCGAAGCTAGTACAATAAAATACGGTGCCACTACGGTAGATACGTGTTGCATATAAAAGATAACTTTACACCATAATTGGGAATTGCTAGTTGGATCTAGTTGATAGCCAAATGAGAAAAGATTAAACGTTAAAATAAAGCTTGAGTAGAACAGATTGTTGCTAGCAAGTGCGAGAAAATAACGAGAACATGGGTAATTGTACAGTCCAGGTCTTCGGAGCACAGCAATATTGAGCAAATTTCCGACGGTTCCAATCACCATACCTGGAGGTAACACTACTCGCATGAGTAGAGAAATGAGATCAACGAGTGAACCCATCATTGGATTCTTTCTATTGAGTTGATCTTAAGAAAACGAAACGTTTCTTATTACAAGATTTCTTCTTAGTTCTATCTGTTGTTCATTATCGAATCTGTTCGTAAAGCCAACCTACAAATATTTTTCCTAGACGAAAAACTTATTCTCGTTCAGTCAGTGAAAGCAATAGGATTATATGGACTAATCATAGCGTTTCACAAAAATCTTACGATTTCTGTCTCACATGGTAATAAAAAGAAAGAGCAAAACGATTATTATTTCATATATACCTAATGTTCGATCTCATATAGATTGGTCATTTGCAAAACTAAGTATGAAATCTATGTTAATCACAAATCATCGATCAGCTTAGGGTTCTAGTTAATCGATGCTTACTTTTTGTAGTACGATTTGTGATTCAAAGTTTTAAAATCTAATAAAGACATATCAGTGCCAATGAAGATCTGATTGAACACCAAATTAACTCTATCCTTAAGTGTTAAAGCATGTATGGCATTCTAACATATGAAATAATATTCCATTACATGTCCGACCGTGCAATCACTCTTTATGCTAGAGTGTATTTTACTATATATTTTGTAGAAAAACAGTCATTCTCTCGGTCTTTCAATCTAGAAAAACACCACAGTTTCTCGTCACTTGAATATTTAATAAAACAAAATATTCGAAATTAGATTTGCTCTTGGATAATTCCAAAAATCTGCTTCCGAGTTTCGCTGGCTAAATATTTTTCAATAATAACATCCTGTTGTTTTTCAAAACTCAATGACTGATAGAGCAAACATTTCTTTATATAACCTACTCTTAAATATTACTCTCCCATAAAGAAAGAATTATATAGTACAACACTTTTCTGTCGAATTCAAACACCTTCTTTTTTTATCCCTAAAGAGTTCTATTCAAGCACGTCAAAAACAGTTTGTTGTGATAATTTTTTTTAATTTCTAAACGATAATTACTTCTTAATGAAAGCTGTCATTTTAAAAATGAGTATATTTATATGTCAAAAACATCAAGGGTATCTTGTAGTGCCTGAGGATAATTTATCAAAAACATTTTAATATTTTCTCTTGATGTACAAGATTGAATTTTTTTATTATTACATTATATATCTAATCAAAATTTTTGAATTTTTCAAAGTTTCAGCTCTTTAGCTAAAACTGATGTTGAAATGCTTGAACAAGCCATTTATATCTAATATCTATTAGATTTAATGATAATTTTTATCTTAAATGTCCATCCGTTACGATAACAGAAAAGATCATAAATAGTTTGTATTGAATTTAAACCATCTCCAAACAATACGAAGTATTGCTGGCATGGTTCGTAGCAAAATAATTTAATAAACGTATAGAATTAGTCAATAGTGATGCTAAATTTGTTGATGTGCGAAGAACTGAGAATGTGTAGGATGCACTCAAGAAAATAATTCGCGAAAAAGTATTTGATGCATCATTATAATTAGAAAAGATTTTCGAAAGAAAATTATGTAAAAACGATAGATGAAATATCTTATTAATTACAATGAGTCATAGAAAGCCATGTAGAACATGTTCATACACATTGAGTTTTATTAAAATTTACATTTTTGAAAAAATTTGTCTTGTAAAGTTTTTTTTCATCAGATGCTTATGAATACCACTGGCCAAGGAATAAAGATGTCACAAAAATCAAGTACGATAATTCATGTATTTTAATCTGATCCATCTATTCGAGTAATAGTTTTAGCTAGAGAGCTGAAACTTGTTTTTTTCCTTAATTGTTATCGGACAGCCTTTATTCGTGTGTATTTTTAGTAGATGTGCTGGTTTTTAAATGAGTGAGTCATTAATAATGATAAACAAGTTTGATTGTTAATTGCTTCAATTACCTACAGACTTCGCAGTAGTTGATTGAACAAGAAAAAAAAGATAAAATATCTCGTACGTATTTTGATTGAATAGGCTGATGTGTTTATTAATGATAATGCACGACTCTTAGCTTAGATTCATCAGAAGAATGTTAATGAATGCGTTTATGAAATAACATAACTGTCTACTAACATTCCACAATTGATGAAAAAATATAACATACCGTGGCACTCAATATTGATCTTAAATCTTATTTTTTTTAATTGTAAAAGCGAGTAAAACTGTGCTAAAACATTGTTCAAAACGCTTTTCTAGTTCGAAATCACAAAATATGTAGTATTTCACTGCAAAATCCACATTTATTTTTATATGAAGTGTAAGATCAATTTTGAGCGTCATTATGTGTATTCTATTGACCGAAAATGCAGAGTACACTTCTGACTTTCTCAATAATTCTTCATATTATTAATTAATTCATACAAAAGACATATATCTTACTTTTTAATATACTCTGAAAGTTCAATCCATGCAAACCAAAAATTTGTCGACTATAAGATGCTTTAGATGCACTTAGCTGATTCGAATTAATCTTGAGGGTGGGTGTGGGTTGAAATCTTCTCTTCCCACATTCGTACCCATGCCTATACTCACACCCACACCTGGATATATCACAAACCTACCAGTAGTTGACCGAAATCTCGAGAAACGGTCAAGTTTTGGCTTCAAACTTGCATCATGGACTACTAATCTATAGCTGAACTTGTGCTGAAATTTTCGGAACTACAGCTATTTGAGATATGAAGATTCATTCAATTCTATACCTCAAGATTGATAGCTCTGAAAAATCACTAAGGCACAATCAATCAAACTCTTCTTTGTAGCGTAAGTCGACCACTATCAGAACTACTCATTGCACTAAAAATATCATCCTGACTCTATTAAATCGAAGAAAACCAGCATAACCTTTGCACACTATTATTTCTCGCTTAAGATGGAACAGCTTCAATTTTCGAAATTTCTTTTTTTTTTCAAGGTAACTTTCTTTGATTTTCACGAAGAAACAGAGATGTATAAAGATTTCGCTAGTTTTTTTCGATTTGATGGAATCAGGATAATATTTTTAGTGCAATGAGTAGTTCTGATGATGGTCTACTTATGATACAAAGGAGAGTTTGGTCGATCTTGAAGTATAGAATGGTATGAATCTTTATTTTTCAAGTAGTTATAGTTCTGAAACTTGCACTGCAAACTCAGTCATAGGTAAGTAGTCTGTGATACAATTTTTACAGTGTCGTCGAAAATTACATTGACGAATTTCAACGATCTGCATTTCGCTGACCTTCATTGCATGAGAACATACACAAGGAAGAGAGAACCTGATGGATTTCAGAGTAGACTCATCCGACTGTATCGAAGTTCATTAAAAGCTATCAGAATTCATGAAAAATCACCGATGTCTAATGAAATTGAGAGTGAAAAAATATGAAGCCGTACTTTCCCATTTTGAATAAAATTCAGTGAATTGCATCCGAATCCATCATAGTTCAATAAAGTTCAATATGAGTTTCAATCAAGGACAAACTGGTTTCGTTTAAGTAATTGGCTGCTTCTCTCAAATTAATGATATAAGTAGTGTTGAGCACGTCATATATCAAGTAGTAGATTTTGAAAAGCTGAAGTCCAGTTTAAATACATCGCAGACTTTGATATATGAATGTTCAATTATCAATATTGACTGCAAAAATGAGAATTTATTTAAAAATATATTGATTTTATCTACATCATTTCCATTCAATGAATGTAATCTTTTTTTTTCTGAAGATAAACACATTTTCATTTGTAACAATTTATGTCCTTCGAAAAAAAAAACAATCTACTTTTAATTAGTTTTATTTTAAAGAATAAATTCTAATATATTTGTATGAGGAGAATAATCTTTTAAATGTTCAGGAAATATTAATTTTCTATAAAATAAAATACAATTAAATTTAGCACAATTATTTCCTGTTGTATTTCTTCTAAAATTTCATATTGCTTTTTTCATTAATTGATAATCAATTAAAAGAAAAACATTATTTGATAAACATGTTTTAGTATCAAATAAAAATTATTTAACATAATCAATATGAACTGCAGTAAGATCAAGTTTATTAAGATGAGGATATTGAATAATTGATAAATTTTGTTTAGATATTTTATTATTTTATCGTTTTCGATTGACTATAGTTAATTTTTCTAAAATGGAAATGATTTTGAAATTTGAAAAATAAATTCATGTTCAAATGGATATTCATCAAATAATAATATTTTACGAACACATTTAAATATTCCATCTAAAAAATTATTTGTTATAATATCATAATATTCTAATTGATATGGATATGAATAAACATGACATTGGCCTATTTTTTCCTTTTGAAAAATAATTAACACACAAGAAATAATTTTATTATATTTAAAATTTTTAAATGTCTTTTGAATATCTTTATTTGATAATAAATTCATTTAAGAATTCAAATAAATAAATGATTGAATATTAAATATAAATATATTCAATTGTAACATATAATTAAGAATATTTATCTTGATTTCATTACCATCAATAATTTTTTTTTTGCTTCCACAAATAATAAGATATAAATAAAGTTTTTTTTCTAAATTCAACATTCGATGTAAAAATAGTAAGATTAATTCATCATAATTATTATTACAGGAAAGTGGAAAACATTTCAATTTAAATGATTTTTCCTAAACAAAAAAGAAAAATTTTTTTTTAAACAAAATTTGATATTCAAAAAACAAAATAATCTCCTGTATTATTAATTATTTGATTCGAAAATTGAATTCGTAAAATATTAACATAAAATGTATGAAGTTGATTAAAACATTTATTACATAGGTAAAGATAATTAGTAAAATATTCTAAATTAATATGTAATTCTAATAAATTCGGTGAGATAATAAATGGACGTGTAATATAAAATGATAATCATGGATAAGAAATTGAAGATGAACCAGATTTTAAATAGTGTAAATTTTTGAATATAGTTAAAATATATGTAAATATAATTGGAATCATTTGTTCTGATATATTTCGTTGTTCATTTGTATTAATATTGATAATAAGTGATAAAATTTGATTTTTAAAGGTATGAGTGAAACGATTTTCATGTAAACAATATTAAAAATAATATTTAATAGAACAGTAATTTACATATGTGACAGTCATTAATCTATTTGTTTGTCTTTTTTGAAAAATTTATTTAAAGATTTAGTTTATCTATTAGTAATAGAATCAAAGTAACAAAAAAATCTTACCAGTAAAAAGATGTGCAAGTATTTCTTCATGAATATTATATAAACCAAGTCCAGTTAAATTAGAATAATTTCGAGTAAGAAGAATACGTTCTATTGAAGATGATTGAAGATCAAGTCATTTGATTTTATGATAAATTTTAGGCAAGATTTGTAAACAAAATCGATCAAGCATTGAATCAGTAAAACTATTTGATTTAGTCGTTTATTAACACCGAATAAAAGAATAAAGCATACTTCTATAGTTGTCAGTTAGTTAAAAATCATCATAAGAATTTCATCAGGTAAATCATTCAATTGAATAAATGAATGTTTCATGTTTATCTTCATAAATGTAATGTTTTGATTTATAAACATTGATATTTATAAATCAACATACTCATGTGTCTGATTGGCCGGTGTCATCAATGAAAAAAATGAAATATTTTTCTATAAAACAAATTTGACAATATGTGACTTTATAGCTCATAGATTATTATTCTCTCTTTGATTTGCATGGCGGATAAGAAATTTAGCAAACCTCTTTATTCTTTATATTATAATTTATACGATTACACATCAATGACTTTAGTGTTAGGTGAACTTCAGATTTTTGAATTCGATTGGATATTTTTTTATAAAACTGTTAGAAATAAAATTGAAATAATTTCTTTTGAGAGTGAAGGTGAGAATATGTTTTTACTGTCAAATAAAAGAAATTATCAAATAATAGGAACATACATATATATACACAGAAATAGTGTTAATCTTCAAGCTAAATCAATATATATGAACTCACACTAACTACTTATTTTGAATCGATGATTATTGTTCGACAAAAAAAACTACGTTGGTTTATACAATTTTCATTAGTGAATTATTCTATGAAATTATTCGTTTTATTGATCAACTAGTTTTTAATGTAATAATCATCTTCTAATTAATTTTTTTAAAGTTTTATATTGACTAAAAATGTTAGTATCCTATTGAATAAATAGTTGTTTTGTTTTTTTGAAAGATTAATAGAAGTCATAAAAACCAATGGTCAAAACATAAATGTAATTCGAACAATGATAATTCCATCTATATATGTAATCATCTTACAACGCACTTAATCTACTTCGAAATATCGAGTTGATAAATTTGTAATCATCATCAAAATTTCAGCTTTAAATAAGTTATCCACTGATTCAGAATCTAAACTAGAAATTTCACATTTCAAAATTTCAGACTTATTAGTGAACTGCTTGATAGTGAATGTCAGAAACTAATAATGGCCAGTAGGCCACAGATCATATTCTAATTGCATAATTAGCCAAAAAAAAGGTTCTTTTAATACGAAACTTTTGCTATCTACTAGTCTCATGCATTTTTAAAAAGAAGGCTTAAGTTCTTATAAAAATAAATCTAAAAATATGAAGTCTATTTCAAAATCGAGCAATATACTCATTTAATTTTTCCATCTACAATAGTAGTTGACGAATGGAAAAGTCTTTCAAATAAAGGTAACATTGTTTTTCTTGACTTTTTCAAAGCAACCAAAAATAAAAGTGGCACCCTTGTTTGCAGCACGTTGAATAATAATTTCAAATAACAAGCAATGGAACTTATCACTTGCCATGAAGAAATCATATATTTATTAAGAAAAACCAGCCAAAATAAGGAACAAATATTGTTCTATACTACTTGTTGTGAGATACTACATGAAACTTTTTGAAATACTTCTCCTTTGTTATTCAATATAAGCACGTGTAGCATGGAACGGATTAAATGAACAACATTGGTATTATAAATCTCAAGAGTTATATAAATTTCACTCAATCTCTTTGTAAGACTGTATTAATAAACCATTTCTTAGAAGATTGTCAGTTAAATCAAGAATTTCAACCAACCGCTCGAATCCGTTAGAAACAAATTTCATAAATTCCAAGAATATTGATATTTCATTGTGGGTCCAAAATTGGCTCAAGCGGTAGTTTACAGTTGAAGAAGTTCCTTGTAAGCGTTTTATTTTATAATGTTTTTTTTTTTGCAGTTTTTATATAAATCCATTATCCGAAAACATTGACGTACGTAGAAAAAGTGCAACTCTAATAAAAGTATGAAGTTTGCATGAAAAAATATCTTTTCCTCGTTGCTTAGCTTATAGAGATTTTTTTGAATAGTTTACTAAACTTTCGATCTATGATTGATAAGAAATCAAAGAAACAATCGAACAATAAATATTTGTCTTGGAAATTAGCTCATAGATACATCTTACGCAAAAAACTTTCAAACAAATGATTATCACCTTCTTGTTTTAGATATCATGAGATATACCTAACAATAAATGTTCATAGTGAAAATTTAGCATTCGATTTCACTTTCAATCTGTAATGCAGATTCTTATTTGTATCATAACCAAATAAATCCTACCTTCATTTTATAACACAACTAAATATTTCATCTTGTTTATGTTTTATTATTCGCATATCAGAAAAGAAGCATTTTGATTAGTGAAGAACAACAACAAAACAAAAATATACAAGGAAAATGACAATGAATAAAAAAAGAAAAGCAAACCTAAATGTTATATGTATGGTTCTTCTTGTTTAAGTTTTGCTTTTATGAAAAAAACTTTTAGTGCAATCCTTTGCAGGATTAAAAATGTGAAACATGATGTATCTGCTATTGCCAATCTTATAAAAAATATTCTTTCTTATGCATATTGGTGTGGGTGTTAAAATTCCCTTGTACCATATACCCACATCCACATCCTACACTCACATTCTGAATTTTTGAGATGAAAAATTAGTTAGTTCTTTCGTAAATCAGAAGAGTTTTAAAAGTTAAAGCAATCTGATGATTCATTTAGTCAGCATAAAATCCCGATAATAGTTGTTCGTCTGACCCTTGTAACTCATTCATCATTCCAATCACTATCACGACCAAATCGATCATAACGATCAGCAAGACGACTACCAAAAGCACCAATAACAGTATCAATACTAGTATCATGATCATCACGACGAAGAAGACGAAAGGCAGGATTATTATGAAAAGTACGCTCATATACAGGATAGTGATTAGCACGAAAATTAGGATCAGAACGAAAAAAACCATGATTGGAATATTGCTGTTTTATTTGTGCTACATCATTGAACACTTCATGTTGATCAGTTCCTAAAATTGGGTTGTAAAATAAGTTGATGTGTGTAAACTGATTTGATGGGATTTTTTTTCGTGGGTTGTTTTAGATATGATATCGATTTTTTTAGTATGTAGTTAATTTTGCTCAATAGAAGAAAGTTTCTGGGAAAATGGAAGAAAAATTGAATCACGAATACCAAACCAATTTTTTATAATGAATTAAAATGTCTAAAGACTTCTTAGTATCACAGTTTACTTTAGATATTGGTGTGTTTGACTGCAGAATGATTACGTTAGTTGAACAATATGATTGACATGGATCAAGATGAACTTTTGTAAATGGTCTGATAAATTTGGTATCATTTAACAAAGCACAATACTAATTCTGGTACGGAATGTCCTAGAAATTTGTCTGTTCGAACGATATTTGACCGTCGAAAGAAATAGTGGAGAGAAAGGTGAATGTGAACGATAGATATAAATGTTGGTGAAAAATTGCAATAAAATATTATGTTGACTTACTCGCATGCCTTTGTTGAAGAGTTAAGTAGATCAAATGTTTGTCCGCATCTTTGTCAAATTCCATTCGATCAATAGTGAAGCAAACACCAGGCGATATTAGCTCTTCTTCTTCATCAGGAAAATTTGAAAATGGTTGAAGATCGACAGTACAAGCGATACACACGTTCATAATAAATAAGACATTGCCATACATCTTGGCTACTTCGGAATTTCGACTACTCGAAGTGAATGCTTGAAAGGATCGTAGTGGTTGCGGATCCGTAAAATAATCGTCTCTGAGTGAGGCAATGAAATCATTAGACAATTGCGTTCCACGATAAAGTAGTGTGCCTGATTTGGTTATCTTGCTATTGAATGGATTGTCCCATAGAAGTAGACTAAATGGACCTAATGTCCGTACCTTACTTCGCCAAACCTGCTCATGTTCTTCACTTCCTATTAATCGCATGGTGCCATTCAATTTTTTATACAAGAAGCTCTCCAAAGAATATAGTTTCGCACAACACTTCCACACTTCTTTCATTCCTAATCCTTTTTTTTCGATTAATGTCTTTGCTATCATTTCGGCCTCATCTCGTTTTTCGATCTCTTTTCCCTCTTCAATAATACCCAAAGCAGCTTTTTCTACGATCATTGGAACAATTGCTTCATTTTTCGAAGGTAATTGATCTTTTGTAAGTTTGAAAGCTTCCACTACTGCCTTTATGAAAGGTGAAATATAGCCATACAAACCACCATAGGGACGCTTGGGAGCGACAGGATTAGGCATAAATCTTTCTTCTCGCAAACATCTTTCATATGTGTTGCATTCCATTCGTCGGACGGGCCGTTGTTTCTTGATATCGCTGTTAGAGATTTGAAGTTTCTGTTTCAAATCAATGTGATAATCATCAAAAAAAGCGTAAGATTCACCAGCTATAAATGCTTCTTCAATAATCATGTTTGTTACATCAGTGTAAGGATGCCATTGCTCCGACTCAGATTTCGAAAAAGGGTCTGTACTCGAATTCCACATCCATTGAATACGTTTGGAAGGATTAGTGAATGTGGACCCTAAGTCGTTTGTCAAAATTGTCTCTTTTTTGGACGCATATGCTTCATCTTCTATCGGTTTTCCCATTTCTGCAAATGCAGATGTTTCAGGATCCATGAATAATCTCTTCTAAATGTGAATTCAACGCCTAGCATTTACACATTACTAATTCATACCTTTATTCTTTTTGTAACAATATAAATGACAAAAAATTATTTAGGATTAGGACGATAGCTTCACTCTAAAAATACTTTAATAATAAAATGATTAATGTTAAAATGTCACTTTCAACTTTAACGGTTAAATCTAAAGTAACACACTTTAATACCATAACTTTGAGAAAACTAAACTTAAAGTATGCATATTGGGAAGTAGAGAAGGGAAGTTACTGGTAGATTACAAAGCGTCTAACAATTTTTCAGAATGTTTTTGTAAAAAAAAATCTTATTTGATATAAGTTGCAGTTTTTAAAAATTTTAGTCAAAGATTTGTTGAACGAATCTGTACTCTCAGCTTTTTCTATTTCTCAATTCCTGTACGGACAAAATATACTGTTGTTCGAGTAAGTTAAGAAAGGACTCCTGCTAACTCCTGATCAACCCGAAAAACACCAGTTTTTTTTCCGTATAACAGTATGAAAAAGACTCAGCTCGAATCTGATTAGTTAGGGACCGATTTTATGAGCCAACCAGACTGTAGACAACACCATATTTTGGCCATTCAGTAGTATTTCGATAAGATCAA